AGCGCTGTGTGACCCATGGCAGGGCCCACGCCCTCTCTGAGCCTTGCTTTCCCCAGAAGTGAGGGGGTGAGACGAGGTCATGAGAGGTCATTGTCCAAAAAAACGGTAAGAGCAAACTTTCTTTAAGCATCAAGGACAGCCAGGTCCAGCGCCCACGTCCTCATGGCCACCCTGGGAGGTCAGGACGCGTGAGGATACCTCGCTGGCCACAGTCGAATCTCCTTCTGTTCGACCTCTCAGAGCTCCTTCCTGTCTCCTGCTCCCCCTGGCCCCATCCCTGTCCTGCCTCGCTCTCCTCTTCCCAGGAGGCTCCCAGCCTGGGCCAGAGTGGAGAACTAGGAGAAAGGGTTGAAGGCACAATTAGACGGGGGCCAAGGGGGACAGGCCTGTTGGCCCTGGCTGGCATGGAGAAGAGGGTTACGGAACTATGGAGCTATGGGAAGAGGAACTTGTTAGAATTATTTATTCAATTGTATTTATTATTATTGTTATTTAATTTGACCAGAGAGAGACAGAAAGAGGGAAAGTGAGAAAGCAAGCCAGCAGGTCCGGGACTCAAACCACGGTCGGCCATGTGAGAGTCCAGCGCCTTAACCACCACGCCACCTGCCGGCCCTGAGAGGGACTCTTAATGTGGGGAGGAAGAAGTCAAAGGGAGGGAAACGAAGACCTGAAAATGGCCGTCAGGTGCCCCAGGAGGGGACCAGAATCATTTGACAAGTCCCCAGCCAGGGAGTCTCTGAGGCTGGGGTCTTGGGCCCCAGAGTCCTGTCCCTGCCTCCTGCCTGGACCCCGTAGCCTGGACCATCTGTCACTTATCTCTAAATTTGAACCAGGTTCTCCAACCCAAAGCCTGGGTGCCTGGCCTGTCCACAGGCCAGAGCCTCTTGGTGGTGGTGGGAGATTTCCCAAGACATATTAATGAGCAACCCAGACCCCCGCCCAACTGTGCCCAGGGTCAGGGTCTGCACAGATGTGTCACCCAAAAAGTGGGTCCTTAAATTCTCCGAGCACTGCAGGGTCCCTGAGTGAGAACTGGGGCAATGGGGAGGGAAGGTCCTTCCTTAGCAGGGCTGGGCGGCTCCCTGGGGAGGGAGAGAGGAAGCAGTCCCTGTCCCCTCAGCCACAGCTGCCCCTGCCTTGGGTTCCACATCCAAGACCTGGCAAACATGGCTGATGGCCACCCCCCTAGCCTGCCGGGGTCAGAAGGCTTGAGCCAGCCCAGCCCAGACATGTGGTCAGGAGGGAACCGGACTGCAGTGCTGGAAGCCACATGGTGACCACTGGTTCAGGTTCCTGGGTCAGTTAGAGACACCTTAGGGACGTCACACGCTCCCAGGAAGCTGCCGAGCTGAGCTGGGGGACTGGAGAAAGGTTTCTCTCTCTCCTCTCCCGTTCATGCCACACTCCCTGTCCTGCTCAGCTCTGACCTCCACTCTGCCCCAGGCAAGCCCAGAGGGCTCTGAGACTCAGAGGGACCAGCACCGGCCCAGCCCCAGCTGGCCCGCCCTGCAGTCTCCCTGTGATGTCGAGGGCCGGCTCTGGGTGTTCTCTGGGGCAGAATCCTCATCGGCACGGCAGGCCTCAAAGTCATCCCCATTCCTCCGCTGGCCATGAGGATTACAAAGGCCAGGCCAGCAGGTGGCATGGGGGTTAAGGTGCTGAGCCCCACATGGTCAACTCTGCGATTTGAGTTCTAGACTCAACAGCTTGAAAAATGCACCGGGCACGTGTGTGGGCGCCCCATTGGAGACTGGGGGTGCAGAGAAGGGATTACAGTGTGGCCAGCTCTTAGAAGTGGGGGTGGGTGGGTGATTTCTCACTTTCCCACTCTGTCCCTCTCTGGTGAGTGCATGAGACTTAGGCAAAAATCTAAAAAAAAAAAAAAAATAGACAGTGGGGGGCCCGTTGTTGGGGGGTAGTGATGCAGCTAGACCCCCATGGGGGGGGCTGGTTACTGTCCCAGGACTTCCCTAGGCCAGCTGGAACTGGGGGTGGATTGTGGCTTGAGGACTTTGTTGGGGATGCCCTTCTCTGTTTCTGCTGCTCAAGAAAGAAAGAAAAAGAAGGAAAGAAAGAGGGACCAGCAGATGGTGTAATGGTTACCTCACTGGACTCCCACCGTAGTTGACCGCAGTTCGAGTACTGGACCTGGTGACTTAAAACTCATGTCAGGCATGTGTGCACGTGTGCCCCAAATCCTGAGACGAGAATGGACTAGGGATTGCAGCGTGGTCAGTCCCCCCCCCCCGGGGGGGGCAGTGATTTCTAACTTTCTGTCTCTGTCTGTCTCTCCAGCAAACATATGTACTCTAAAGCAAGAATCTCTCTCTAAAGAAAAAGATACAGTACAGTAAAAAGAAAATAAAGGGGCTGGCATGGGGGTTAAGGGTGTTGGACTCCTACATGGCTGACTGGGTTCGAGTCCCTGACCTTTAAGAAATAATTATTATATTGAACTTTATTAATTATTTATTTACTTATTTTAATTTGACCAGAAAGGGACAGAGAGAGAGAGAGAGAAAG